GCTTCTTCATCCTGTTTTTCTTGTTGTCGTCTGGCTTCTTCGTCTTGTTTTTCTTGTTGTCGTCTAGTCTCTTGAAGTTCTAACATTTTGCGCAGAAGTTCTTCAACTTTTTGTTCGTCCATTTTGGCTTGTTGTCTTGTGATAGGCATATACAGAATGTTCTAGAATTTCCCTCGAACTTTCTTCAAAAATCTTTTCTGGTCTTTGCTCGAAGTTCCAACCACGCCGGTGCAGTCACAAATTGGATAACTTGCTTTATTCTAGAATAGAATGTTCTGGAATTTTCTTGAAACTTCTTTTCTAGATGTCGATTGATACAGCAAACACGTCGGTGAAGTCACAATTCCGATATCTCCCTTGAACTCACTCGAAGATTCACTATCACAGTCTAAATCGGGTATAGAGTCACTTCCGGGGTAATTCACACGATCGGTTAAGTCTCTTTTTGTGATTGTCACTGTTTGCACTGCACTAACTGTCCCAGTGTTCACTTAGTGTTCAGTTCTTACACTACACTAGTGTCCCCGCACTTCCGCAATTGGATTTCACTCTGCAGTCCTTCATATCCGACTTCTGGCACCAATGTCACGGCTTTGGGTTGCCTGACAGAAATCTTGGGTTCGTTGTTCGTTTCATTTATTCCAAAAATCAAAGTCCAATTAACACAGCAATAATTTATTCCACTAAACAATACACTCTGACACTAATTACTTTAATAACTAACTCAACGGCCTTCTTATATATCCCTAAATCTATTCCTGCAAAATCTAGAATACACACGATAATCTTATTTTCCAGATTATAGTAGAATAATTCGCTAGATTCTTGACAGCCTGGCAGCAGACGCTGTTGTTATGGCCTGGCGTTAGCAATATCGTAACAATATATGTTTTTTTTTTTTTGTAACAGCCCTTTATTTCATTCACAACCTGCCAAACAGCCAGAGCTGGGCAAAGCCCTCAGTAAAAGGGCTTGAAGCACTAAGCCCTAAGCCCTCTATCAAAGTGCTTCAATTTCAAGCACAAATTCCTTTTTATTTTTAAAAGTGCTTCACAAGCACAAAGCCCTCAAAGTGCTTTGGGCTTGACAAGCACAAAGCCCTCAAAGTGATTTGAAAAGTGCTTGAAGCACATCAAAAGTGCTTGGGGTGCCTTGAAAAGGGCTTCAAGCTCTTTAAATGTGCTTGAAGCTCTTTAAATGTGCTTGAAGCTCTTTATATGTGCCTAAAGCACTTTGAATTTGTAATAAAATTCTCAAAGTGGCATAAGTTACCGCGTACACTCATCACACAGAATTGGTATAGTAGAGACGAACTTTACATTTCACAGAGTAGCAGTAGTATGTTTTTTTTGAGATGTAGTTCTGGGGTACTTGGGGTAGTTGGGGTACTACATGGTAATTCAATTTTAAGGTTTTCAAAATGTTCAATGGGGAAAAGTGAAAAAAATCCAGTGATAAAGTTAAATAGGATACCAATATAAATTAATTATTTATTTGAATAATAAGTTCATTCATTTTTTTTTTAAATTCCATTCTAAGCTCAAACCCAAAACCTCCATTGTTAAGAGAGAAAAGACATAAGACGGTTCAAGTTCAAATAATATAAAAAAAAATTAAAGGACAAAATACGATCGAAAATTTTTAAGTGGGGGATAGGTTGAATGATGGTCAATTCAAATTCCTTTCAAAGTGCTTCAAGCCCTTTTAAAGTGCTTCAAGCCCTTTTAAAGTGCTTTAAGCCCTTTCAAAGTGCTTCAAGCCCTTTCAAAGTACTTCAAGCTCCCAAAAGTGCTTCAAGCCCTCTTAAAGTGCTTCAAGCCCTTTCAAAGGGTTTCAAGCTCCCAAAAGTGCTTCAAGCCCTCTAAAAGTAATTGAAGCTCATTGAAAGGGCTTGAATTACTTTTTTCAATTACAAATTACCAAGCACTTTTCTAAAGTAATTGACTTTGCAAGCCCCAATTACAAATCTATAAAAGGGCTTGAAGCACAGGGCTTTCAAGTCCTCAAAGTGCTTCAAGCACTTTCGCAAGCACAAAGCACTCAAGCCCTGCCCAGCTCTGCAAACAGCCTTTGATTTGTTAGCCGACCTCAAAATATTATTTTGATAAAACATTTCACGTGAGTTTGTTAACAGGTTTTTATATATCTTTTTTTGGTGACAGTATGTCTCCCTGAACTGGGGGTAAGTATTACTAAGATCATAAAGTATATCAAGTTGTTTTTTGCACTCCATGACCTCAGGGGAACTATGCCAAATTATGTTGTTTCTCTTTCTTTTCCTAATAATTTTCTCAGAAAAACTTTCCTCATAAGCCACTGAGACATTTTCCATAAAAATGTCCCACTGCCCATTTATGTCTTCTGGTTTACAGCACAAGATATCAAGCCAATAATTTTTACTTAAGAGATTTTTAAAAAGATTTTGTTGTCCGTATTTAAAAAGTTAATAAATTTTTGTGGAAACTTTTTGTGTTTTTCTGTTAAAATATCTACATTAAAATCCCCTGCAATGAAGACAAAAGAGTCTTTTTTTATCAAATTACCTAAAATTAAATTTAATTTTTCAATTAGAACCTCTTGATCCTCGGTCCGGTAGACATTCATGATAACATAGCAGGAGCCACCCATCATAAATTCAACAGCAGAGCATTCAAAAGTAGCTTTTTCAGATAGTCTTGATATATCTTCTCTTGTTCTACATACAACATCTTTATGTGTATATATAGCTGAGCCTCCATGTTCATCCTTGTTCTGGCAAAAGCATGACATAAGATTGTAGTTGGTAATATTGTATGCTTTGAGCTGTTCTTTGTTTTTCCAGTGCTCTGTTATACACAGGGCAATGCAGTATTCATTTTCAGCTGCTAGAGCATTTAAGTGGTTTATGCTCGTTCCAATAGATTGGACATTGAGGTGAATCAGACTGTATGAACTAGTGTTTGTTAGTTGATTTTTACCGCTGGCCTGTATCTGCCGATGCGTCTCTGTAGATTCTGAAAATGGTTAATGACAATTCCCCTTGGCCAGAGGTTAGCTGTCATATAGATGGCTACTTCTTCTTCTAGCACAGTGAGCTTGAAAGAGCTTTTCTCTTTGTCTTTTTTTGTCTTCATTTTTTCACACATAACATTCAGATTTTTGCCCTTCAAGTATCCAACTATTTCCCCCTCAGTGGTATTCGGGTGGTAGCCAGAAAGGAAGAGGAATGTCCTTGTTTGAGCAACCTGGGGTCCATCCTGGGTCTCATCTGCACCTCGAACAGGATCGGGCCTCGTGCGTGCTTTGCGTTTTGGAAATAACCAGCCTTGCTTTTCATCCTCGGTTTTTTCCACATTTCCCACGTTAGACTTTACTTTTTTTGTGTTTTCTTGTACATTCTCGTTGTCTTGTTTATTTTTGTTGTTGTTGCCATTTTGATGATTTTGATTATTTTGATTTTTGACATTCACCATTGACGCAGCCTGTCGATCGTATTTGGTTTGTTGAGGTGGGGCACTGGTGCGTTCGAGATTTTTGCGGTTAGTGTTGCTCGATTTGCTGGGTGTTTCCAACGTTGCCAGTTCTGTTTCGTCGCTTGACGTGTTTGAGATTACGTCACCGTTGGTTTCTTTTGGCGCCAAGGACTGTATAACCTCACTATTGGAATTTCCATGATTTTCCTTGTATTTTTTGTTTTCCTCAGCCAGCAGACGGTTATTCTCTTCCAGAAGAGCGTTTTTTTCCTCCAAGACCTTGATAACCATGTTGAAAAGGTCTTTTTCATGTTCCCAGGCCTCCTGCACGGCATACTCCGGTATATGCAGCTTGGTCGTTTTTGTGTGGCTGCTTGGATCAGGCAGGCCGAATGGAAGTGTTTTTGACACTTTCCACATTTGATGTGGTTTTTAGTTGTTTTTTTGCAGTGCACGCACATTTTTTCACAGTTTTCACCACTGATTTTCGCGTTTTTTCCGGACGAAAAAAAATTATAGCTCTTACCCTAGAGACGCTATCCACATTTTGAGAATCTGCGACTGAAGAAGCCTAGTCTAGAAACACCTTCCTAGTAGAATGTGGGTGTTGCTTTGGAGAAAAAATGTTTTTTTTTCTCGAATTGAGAAGAAACTTAGAAAATATTCCTTCATTCTATTTTTTTTTTATAGTGTTAAGTTGTTTATTTTAGAGAAAATAGGGCTAGGAAATCTTGTCATTAGAGAGTTATTGGAATTATTAAATACTGCCTCGCAGTATTAAGGAACTACGTTATTTTATTAGCGCATCAGCACTATTTTCCCAAGAAAAAAACAGTTATTGGAAGACTGTAGTAGGTGCTAGAGTATTACCTTATTTTGTATTCATAATTTTGACAGCTGATAGCTATGTTTATAAATTTCAGCCTCAAAGTGTTTATTTTTGTTTGTGATTTTCTGCTGATACCTATTTTTTGATGTTACCCACAATTAAATGAAAAACTATTGTAAAAAATTAATGTTCCAAGTAAAATTACGTCATCATCGAAAAGCGAAACGTCAAAGTCGTCCAAAATGTCAGAAATTTGAAATAAGGGAAGTTTAGTGCCTCGCACTAACCATACACAAATAAAGTCAAGCAGTAACCTTATTAAGGGAATCCTTATTTTCGGACCCATATGCGCATGCGTAGATGTCAAAATAAGGCTAATTCAAATACTGCTTGTCCTTATTGCACGTCCAATAACTCTCTATTATTCAAATCTAATTATTTATTTCTGAACATTATTCAGAATTTTTTTTTTTTTTAAATTTAGAGAAATTTAGGATTGGAATGAGTGCTATCATCGGAATAAAAATAATAAGGAATTTATGTATGAATGGGATGCAAACTCTAGTATTTTTTGTCCCACTAAGCTCTCAACGTTCCCAATATCTAAGTGGAGATCGTTTAAGATGCAGGATGTAAGTAGATTTTTCAACAAATGTTGTTGCATCAAAAGAAAATTTGTCTGAAATGCAGATAAAGCAATCTAAATTTCATCATTTTACCTGAATTTGTCTCTTCGCTGTTAGTGTTGTCCTTTAAGGCAATATCTGGTAGTGTTCCCGAAATATCAGATTCATCTGATGAATTTTCTTCAGAGCTTTCTTCAGAACTGTCCCAGTAGTATGTATTAGAGTCAATTTGTTTCATCACATTCTTGAAGAAAAAAAATGATTAGAAATTATTTGTATCAATTAATTAATTAATGGTAGAAATGTTTAGTGAAATTTTCAAAATACACTGATCAAAACGAAAAAGCGTTACTTCTGATTTGAATGTGAACGCAGTTTTTTTACAAAATTATTTTATGTTTTTAGTTAAATATAGGTCTATTCCAACAGTCAAAAACCGTCCTATGAACGGTTTGGGAACCACTCTGTATACGAATTTCGGATTTTACGCCCAAATTTGCGGCTGTGCGCATAATCGTGACAATGCATTGTACGGTTTCCTGCTGTGTTGGGGCAAAACTTTGAGAGATTAAATTTACAAACTTGCAATTTTTTTATCGAATAAGTAAACAACCGGTGATAAAAGCAACCTTTTTGGTTTCAAATAACTGCGTGTCTGCTGGGAAAACAGACAATTTTCTTTTCAATGCAATAAAGAAATTATAATAACTCACTGAAGCGGCTCCTTTTTCATTCTGATCGGTGTATAATTAATAGGTAGGTACATAGATACTAAAAATTATTCAATTTCTTCACCTTCTGTAATTATTGAATAGGTTGAAAAAGGACTTAGGATAGTACTAGTATTTAGTAGTTTGAACATCAATGCCTAGAACTCACTTGAGTCTTCAAGTAACAAGAATAACTTTAAATATAATATGCTATTTTGATGTCTAACTCTCACGCAAACAGCTGTTGAATATTGTAAGAACCAAAACTGGTCATGAAAGTGTGAAGAACAAGAACTTGCAATCCTACAAAAACTAGAAGAATAAACGTGTCCCATAATTTAGACAAAAATTATAAAACGTAACTTAATATTAACACTCCAGGTCTAGATGATTTTCTTTTATGTATTATACTAGCTTCTGCTCGCGGGTTTGCACGCCCCCATTTTTTAAAAAACCGATACAAACCATACAAACTTTCACCCCTTCAAATGTGAAAATCCAAAAACCCTGAAACCCGTCATAATTCAATTAAGAAGAGTCGCTACAATGCAAATTTCCAAGTTCTATCTTTGAAAAAACCGATACTCCACGCGTTTCCCAACCTTGAAATGTGAAAATCCAAAAACCATGAAACACATCACTATTCATTTATTCTCAGTAATTATTTTTGGAAATTCAACTAACGTTAATTTCAAAATGTTGTATAGAAATATCTGAATTCTCATAATTTGTTTCTTAAAGTTGGGCCATATACATATTTAAATTATTTAGAATTAATGAAATTATTTTAGAAAAAAACATATGTCACCTGAAAAAAGATCACACATTAACCACTAACTAAATTTTACCTGCATGTTAGAATCAATTTGTTTCTCCAAGTTTATGCTAAGATCGTTTTCGGGCAAACTAGCCTCAACAGGGTTATCCAATGGCACATTTGTATCAGGTGTTGATTGAACAGCCGAAACTTGGCAACGAGTTCGACTTCTTGTCTGAGGAGAGTCCTGATTGTTGCTGGATGTTGACAGTAGCTCAGCAGAGTTGTTCTTTTTTTGATTTTCAGGCGTTGCTCGGTAGCGAGGCTGAGTCACCTTAGCGGCGCAATCGAAATGATAACGTCCTCCACAACGTCCTTTGCATTTAAATATGTTGCCCGTTTTAAAACAAAAATCGCAAACCTTGAAATGAGAAAACAACTTTAAGGTTTAAAGACAAGAAAAATTTAAAAGAATCCTATAATACCTTAACTCTTGTTAATCCATTGAATAGAGCATTCTTTTTATGTAGTGACAATTGATATTCATAAGTATAGACATTTGGATCAGTTGCATCATCAATGAAGATATTTTCTTCTACTTTGGCAGGTTTTGGGGTTTTATAAGCGGCAGAGGTACTTGGTTCTTGAACACTTATGTCTTTTTCGGAATCTTTGGGGTCTTCTTTGTCGGAAGATGACATTTTTTTATAACGCTTCTCGATAATTCCGTCCAGGTTAATTTCACATCCAGCCATTATTTCACTTAATTTTCGTTTACGAGGACTAGGCATACTGTTCAATAAAAATTGAAGTATTTCTTCGAACGATTTATGCCTATGTGATTCAATTTCTTCAACGGCATTCTTCCATTGGTTCATAATTTTAGGTGTCCCTTGAATTAGATAGTCTTTGATAATGAAATGACGTTGACTCTAAAATAAAATAGGAAAATTTATTGCTGAGGACGGCAAGGGGGAGTTCCAAAAAGAGTGCACTTGCTATTTCTTACCTCTGACTCCAGTTTTTTTACAATCATTTCTAAATCGTTTTTGGAATTGTACAGCATGATAACTCCCTCTTTGATCCAACACCGTCTGCCGGAGTCCCCAAAAAATCTTACATGATATAGTTTATGGGGTTTGCTGTTTTTTTTTGTACCTGTATTCGAAAACCAATGTTGATTTAAAATATTTTAACTAAAGTTTGATTATTGCGATCTTAAGTTTATATATTCAAACTTTTGTAGGTGTAGTTTTTTTTTTTTTTGTTTTTGATATCCCACAGGTCTGAGACTCTCTGGCATTGTCAAAGGATCATCAAAAATTTATTCGATGTGTGAAAATTAGATAAATAAAAAAAAAAAAACACTAAATGTTCATGAAGCAAAGTTATACTATTCTCAATAAAATATTGTCAAGTGGTATAATAACAATACCACCACCTTGTACATGAAAAAGCTTATTGATAAAATATGCTTGATTATGACTCAGCATATTAAACAAAAATTACACGAACATAATAATCTGTATGGTCTTGGGCCATAATCGATCACTTCTGTTTCAAATTTTGACGACAATAAAAAAGTCCAATTTATAGACCGCTTGGAGACAGAATCTTTTTATAGTCAAACCTAGAATATTCATTCAAATTTCACATTTTTCTAGTACACCAAATAGCAATGTATTGGTTAAAGCTAAAATACAATAAATTAACTTGCTTGAAAAACTTACCATCTTTAACAAATGCATCAGTGTCAGGTTCCTTGCAAATCACAGCCGGCCAGTATGGATATCTGTTCAATTTAGCCCACACCAAATCACCAATGCTATAGATTTTTTTTTCTAAAAAAAATATATATGTATTTTTCTTTTTCAATTCTCTCTTGTTAAAAAAATTACCCATTTTGATTTGTGGCTCTTCCGTGGTTGAAGTGTTACATGGTTCAAAGCTTACTGATACATCCGATGGTTTAGGATCTATGCTGAACCGAATGCTTCTGCAATCAAGCCAGAATTCATTGAATAGTGTCAGTTACCAACCACTCTATTGCAAGCATATCAAATGAACAAAGAACCAAAAGCATTTAAAAAGCGACTTTAGCCAGTAAGCGCTGACGCACGGTCTCGAGCCAGGGTTTGGAAAGTGATTCACTCAGGCGATAGTCCGCTAGAAAATGGCGTGAAATCAAACCCGGAGTGTATAAAGTATTTGTAAACTCACAAAGGCAAAAAACAAAAGGACACATTACAATGCGTACACAAGCACTCAGTGAAATGGCGACATGTGGAACTATAACCTGAGGTCTTCAACGCTATAAGCGTTTAATTTTTGGAATAACTTGGGCGCCTGAATTGTTTCGAAAGACGTTACAAACGATGCTTGTTGGTTGCGCTATTATCTAGGCCATGAGTTAAACGCAAACGGAATCATGAATTATGCACTTGAGAAAGTTTTCTGTTATCAAGCTGGATCCAAAGATCGATTCAGAAAACAACAAGAAATGGGATTATATGCCACGACTTATTGAACTCAGATTCTACAGAAAGGACACAAAATGTCAATGATGCAATGAGTGATGATACAAGCGTAGGCGTAGGGGTTGAAATGCCCAGTATTTTTAAAAAAAGTGGCCCCTAAGTTCGGTGCAATAGGACGATGCAATCATATATGCTGCACATTAAATAAGACTTTTACTTTGATCAAGGTCCTGAGATATCTAAAATATTATTTAAAAAAAATTAATGGAATACTGCTCCTCTGTGAGGCGTATATACAGCGTGGGCAAAAAGAATGGAACACACAGGGGTTTGAAAACTATCTTTTTTTTTGAAAAATCGCCCGGACCCGTCAATTTTATTTTTGAGCTGCGCATTTTTTGGAGAAAAAAAAATTACACAGGGTATCCCAAAAATGGTGTTAGTTGCATCAACTATTATTTTAATTGGCAACCCTGGGCCCGGATTCCGAACCCACGATTCGATAGAATCGTCTACCTATATTTATATACCTAGACGATACCATCGAATCGTGGGTTCGGAATCCAGGCCCTGTGTACTATTGCATTTTTGGATTCTACGGAAAATTTTGAACATATTTCGCGTATAATATCCTAGACCTATCTTCAACTGTTTCGGAATTATTGACAGTTGAAAATTGACTTTTTTTAATTTGATGAATTTCAGAGCCAAACCGATCATGCATTCTTATCTTAGTTTTCCATAAACCATAAACTCATCATTTGACACCAACTTTGAATTTAATCCATGATCAAAAATTTCGGTTAAACCAAATCTCCGATTAAGTTCATAGTGGTTGTGAAATGATAGTTTAGGGAAAACTAAGACAAAAATATATGATCGGTTTTGCTCTAAAATTAACAGTTTAGGTTTTACAGCCTGTCAAATTTGCAAAAAAGTAAATTTTCAACTGTTAATATTACCGAAACAATTGAAGATAGGTAGGCATAGGACATTATACATAAAATACATAAAATATTTCCATAATTTTTCGCAGAATCCAAAAATGCAATGATATACAGGGTTGCTATTTGAAATAACAAAGTTGGTGCAGGTAACTCCATTTTTGAGACACTGTATATATATATTTTTTTTTCAAAAAATATCCCGATCAAAAATAAAATAGACGGATCCGAGCGATTTTTCAATAAACAAATAGTTTTGAAAAGTAGGTGTTCCATTTTTTTTGCCCATGCTATATGTATAGGTATGTATATAGCAGCTCATAAAGTTGCTGGAAGTTTCAGGCAAAATAAATCCATTGCTTTGCGAGAATTTCATGCTTTTACTGATTGCGACACGGTGTCATATTTTGGATCTAGAGGCAAAGGCAAGGCTTGGGCTGTTTGGGAAAATGATGAAACTAATGACATATTTGAAGTTTCAGCTGAATGTCGGAGGTATCGAGAATTGATGGCATTATGAGTACACTAGAAAAATACACGATACAAATGTATGATAACAGCAGCGATAAATGTAGCGTGAATGAGTTACGCAAGGAGCTCTTCTGCTGTGGTCATCGGGCAATAAGCTCTATTCCGCCCACAGCGGCAGCTCCTATAGAGCACTCAAGAAGAGCAGCCTATCAGGCTGGGAAAATCTGGGGACAAGCCACTCATATAAGCCAAGATATTTATGTCCCTGAAGACTGGGGTTGGACATATACAGGTGAAAGATGGCGACCATAATGGAGCACGTTACCCGAAATTTGGAGTGACCTCATGGATTTGTAAAAGTGTGGCTACAACCTACAAGTTAAAGTGCGATAGTAGAGGGGGTGTTAATGCCGCAAAGCGCAGCTACCTTGCACACCTGCTTGCTATTTTTGAATTAGGTATCTCATTTAAATTCTGTCAAAAACAATTGTTTTCAAATATTAGTCCTGTAGCATTTTATCTGCCAAAATCAATTTCTTGAATAATTTTCGCTAGAAAACAACATATCACACGCCCTAGCAAAACTGTAAAAAAAATGGGCCTCCATTTTGAAGAAAACCCCATACAGAGGAGCAGTATTCCATTAAATGTTACTAAAATAATATTTTAGATTTCTCAGGGCCTCAATCAAAGTAAAAATCATATTTAATAATAAAAAATCTGACAATTTGATAACTGACGCTCTGAATTTTCCGCCATTTTGGGGTGGGGGGTGTCCCAATTGATGAGTCAGTGTACAGCGGGTCAAATCACTTAAAATGGTCTAAAAAACAACTATGCCAAATTTCATGCTTGTCCACAATTTGCCTTTTTTTTTGCTTACCGCTAGGACTATATACCAGTCTGGCAAGTGAACATCTTACATGCCAATTTGAATGCAATAGAATGAAATGTCTAGAAAAAGTCTAAGGTTGAATAGAGAACGGAAACAATTTCCCCTGTTCCACCTCCAGCGTTCCCAGCGCTGCATGCTGGAGATGGAACAGGGAAAATCGTTTTCGTTCTCTATTCAACTTTAGACTTTTCCTATACATTTCATTCTATTGCATTAAAATTGGCATGTAAGATGCTGACTTGCCAAACCTGTATATACAGTGTCCCCCATAATGTTCGCTACATATGGTAATTTTTTTTATTTGTAGGATATGGAATTTTTTCTTATGTGTGATCGATCCTGCATGACCGATAACCTAAAAGTACATTTTGAGATTGGTCAAGTGATCACAGTTGTGGCGGCAAATTCGAAAATTTAGATATGGAAACGCGAAAAGTGGGGTTAGATAGCAAAATTTCGAAAAAGTTAGGACAATGTTTTAGGGCTGTCTTCGAAATTTGGAGGAAAAATAACAAAAAACAGGAAATTACTTGTTTTTAGCCGGATCTCTTATCAAATATTATTATACAATTTTCATTATTGAAATAGTCCAGGTACCTCAATAAATGTGTATTGGTAAAACAAACTTAAATTCTTCATTGGAATGATTCCTAGAGGATTAAATAGAAATATTCGACTAGCACATGAAACGTTTCTGTAGCGATACCCTGTATCTTGACAGTTTCTGAGATTTAAAATGACTTAATTTTGATACAACAATTGAAAAGATTCGTTATTGAGATTTTTTATCAAATTTTTCAATACAGTTCCAAAACACCTCACCTAACCATCCAGATAAAGGGTATTGCTACAGAAAAGTTTCATGTGATAATCAATAATTTTTATTTAATTTTCTAGGAATGATTCCAATGAAGAATTTAAATTTGTTTTACCAATACACATTAAATATTGAGGTACTTGGACTATTTCAATAATAAAAAATGTATAATACTAGTTGATAAGAGATCCATGGCGAAAAACAAGTAATTTTTTGTTTTTTGTTGTTTTTCCTCCAAATTTCGCAGACAGTCCTAAAACATCGTTCTAATCACTTTTTTCAAATAACTTTTTCCGAAATTTTGCCATCCAACCCCACTTTTCGAGTTTCCATATCTAAATTTTCTAATTTGTCGCCACAACAGTGATCACGTGACCGATGTCAAAATGTACTTTTAGATTATCGGATATGCAGGATCGATCGCACATAAGAAAAATTTCCATATCCTACAAATAAAAAAATTCCCCATATGTAACGAACATTATGGGGGACACTGTATAATAGCTTTATCGAACCCCATACAAGATATCTCATTCCGTGCTATAGGAATGCCAGTAATGAAATGATAAATAAATTGCAAAGTTCACAAAATAAGGCAATAAAAGTTATATTTGCAAAAAACTATAATACAGCAAGTCACACAGTACGCAAGACTAACCATTCCTAAAACTACAGAAACTAAAAAAACTTTGAAAAAACTAAACTTACCTATATCTAAAATAAAGAATAAGACTTGTTAAAACAAATGTAAGTACAGCTAAACCAGAATAGAGACTAATAACATAGTTATGAAGATTATAACCTACGAACTGAAGAAAGACAAATACATAACTTTCCAAAAAAGGTCAGGATTATCCTATTCTTTTAAAGCGTATGTAAGTACCCATAATACTCAGTCGTATGAATAAAGTGTAGAATGCTTTTACTCTACCTCCATCTCTTTTTGCTGCATTAAGGCTGAATATGTTTATTCCAAAACACTTAAGTAGAAGCATTTGCTTCTGTTTTATTCACATGACCCACTTATTACCAAAGACAGTACTTGAATAATGTGAGAAAGTTGTTTAGATAACATAACCTCAAGAAGTTTTTAAGGGACAGGGACTATTAGGCAATCCAATCCATCTGTCAAAAGAGTTTTGACAGCAAGTTTGTTTTGAATATGTTTTTTTTTATGCGTATTTTGGTTATTTTGCTGTAATATATTTGATTTTGCTTCGAGTTTTGTTTGCAGTTTGATTTTGATTGTTCAATAAAATATTTATTGACTTAAAGCGGGTATTTGACGGAAAAATAACAGTTAACTTCTGGAATTTCATAGTAATTCCAGCATTTTTTTCTAGTTTTCTGTCAAAATAGTTTTATAATACCTATCCTAAGTGCATTGCACAA